GGTTGTAGTTTTTTTTTTTTTTTTTTTTTAAAACAATACATTTACTGAAATGAAAAAGAAAGCTAGCTGTCTGCGCCTGAGCTAATTTACAGTCCTGGACACCACGGAGAAGGAAAATGGACAACAATGAAGAGGGCGCTGATAGTGATGAGGGAGATGAAAAAACTGCCTATCACCAACTGGCAAAATCCAGAGGTGAATGGTGATCACCTGGGAAGACATTAATAAAATTTCCTGATCACCTGGAAAGGTGTTAAAATATTTTCTGACTGTGTGGTGGTGGCGCACGCCTTTAATCCCAGCAGTCGGGAGGCAGTGGCAGGTGGAATCTGAGTTCGAGGACTGCCAGGGCTGCACAGAGAAACCCTGTATCGAAAAATTCCAAATTCCACATTAGTGTCCCTTCCTTCCTTCCTTCCTTCCTTCCTTCCTTCCTTCCTTCCTGTTTGTGTGTCAAATGAACTTTTGAGTATTTAATTTCCTGCATGCCACTACCATTCCGGGAAGAGACCCTTCATGGGCACATAGGATCCTCTGCAACGTGAGGATCTCATAACTTGGTGACCTGAAGTCTAAACTTCAAAAACAAATTTAAACCTAGACAGTTGCTTTGGCTGGTTCTTTACAGGACCCTTTCTTCATAGCTTGTAGTGTTGGGGACGACCCAGGGCTTCTTGGAGACTAAGCAGGCAAATACCCCACCAACTGAGCTACGCCCTTAGCGCCAGCTACTGAGATTTCAGGAACATGTTGAGCACAGTTGAATAGTTGTGATAAATTAGTTAACACATTAATTCTGTAGAAATAAATTCAAATGCATCAGTTCACGACAGCTTTCTTGTTTCTGTTTCTTGTCCACAATGTGGACAGGTGCTGGTAACTAAATGACCACAAGAGGGCACCAAAGACAAAATTATGTTATTTATACAACTGGACCAGTGAACTAGGTCATAAAAGGGAAAGAGCTCAGAACAGGGCAAAGAAAAAAAAAAAAAAGAAGAAGAAAAAAAGATGAACTCGCCTACAGAAGGTTGCAGATTCGTTTATAGTCTTGTTAGTAAGGTATAAAAATGACAGAACAGAACAAAATGTAACTGGAGTCTGCTTTAAGAGAGCTTAGAAAAGGACTTAAAACCTGTATTCTGGAGGGCCCTGTGTGTTTGCCTCTAGATCCCCTAAGCGTTTGTGAGTGAACAGGCCCGCTTCCCTTGAAGACACTGTGTTCCTTCATCTCTGACTGAAGATAACCTCTGCAGTTTTCCATCTTCAGAGTACGGGCCATTTCCTCCCCTGGCTGCTCCCTGGGCAAAAATGAAGCCCGATTTCCATAGCCTCAAAATGTCTAAGAGGCACAAAGGGCAAAAGTTGTCTTTTGCTCCTCTAACAGAGGAGAGTAGACATTAGTAACTCTTTTTTTTTGGGGGGGGCGCAAACCTGGCAGTGCCAGGAAGTGAGAGAGCTCCAGGTCTTGAGATCCTTAAGACTAGAGAAACGTCTCCAAGCTCTGGTTTTGATGGCAAAAATATTAACTTTTCTTTCCTCCTTCCTAGTAAGTAGTTCATAATTATAAATACCTAAATGCCAAGCTTCATTAAAACAAATGAATTAAGTATTTCTGTGGTCCACAGCAAGACTATTAGAATCTTTTAAAAGAAAAAGTAAGGCAGGCATTTATCTTTTTGTTTGTTTGTTTGTTTGCACAGGAATCTTAAAAGTTGCTTTCTTAAGAATGGGGTGCAGAACCGCCAACCAAAGCAGAGGAGCTCAGCCTGGAAACAGTCATCCATAAGATAGTTCCAAAGGCTTTGAAAAACCCGAGTCTGGACACCTAGAAAGCTTCCAATGGCCATACCACAAAGTGTTCCATCAGCAATCAGATGGGGGACTGGATCAGAAGGAGTGCTTGGCTGTGTGGTTAGTATGTGTCATTCATATATGTTCCTTTTCTTTCACTTTTTGGTTAAAGTCTGTTGTGTTAGCATGCTACAGGTAATTGTTTAAGCTTAAACAACAGTAGCCCTGCTGAACAATTAATCTCTGATCGTGTTTAACATCAGGAGCTGTTTCCATGGAGCCGAGGAAACTGTTTTTATCTAAAGAAGGGCAGGGCACAGACAATAAACAAGGTTAGAGATAAATGGGTGTCGTGTGGTTAGCAGTGCTGGGAGCAGGAACTTCAGGGCATCAGCGTTTTGATGCACCAGTAATAAACGAAAGCGAGATGAACAGTGAATGCTTCAGATCTGTGGAGGATGCTGAACACACAGAGCCCTGGCCATGTGGAGAGTCTGGAGGACTCAGAGGGGAGGAGAAGCAGCAGAAGCAAACATCCATGGTGTGTGCGTGGGCTTCGTATTCCGAGTCCAAAGTTAAGGAGAGCAGAGGCAATGAGCATGGAGGAGAAGAACAGGGCTTGGCTGCCTGAACCACAGAGAAGTGTGCTTCATCAGGCCACCTGTCACCTCCACAGGAGGAGTTGCTCAGCCTGGGTTCCGGAGAACTGACAGCTGACCTCTTGTCGTACCCCATGTCCTGTAGAAACTGTTTAAAATAGTATCTCCAGTAAAGCCAAGTGGTCTTCAGCCTTGATAAAGTGTTTAAAAACAGGGGGATATTTTCCTTCCCATTTGAGGGCACACGTGGGTTCCTCAGCACCCAATGTCGTACAGCGCCTTAGGTGGGGTGCAATGATACTTGGGTCATTATCGAATGCCAGCCAGGGCCACTCTCTAGAGGAGGCTGGCAGAATCTGTCCCAGATCCTGTTGTGCCACCATAGTCCTTGTTTTCTTTCTCTTCTCTCTCACCATTCCTGCCTTCATGAAATATACCACTCACCCACAAAAGAACCGAGATGAAGTCAATGACCCTTTCCATAACAACACTGACATGACATTTTGTTAACATTAGCCTCTTGCTGCCTCTGATTAGGTTTTAAATATGCAGGGCATTAGGCAGTCAATGGAGGTCTTGTGGATTTCTCAAGGTTTTTCTCTCTCCTTCCATCTGCCTCTCTCTAGATCTGATGGACTTCTGAAGAAGTGGGAATCATTCCTTCTGCACCACTTATTTTAACCACATTACACATACTTGGTTTTGAAAAGTGACATTTCTGTGGGTGTTATTAAAAAACATTACCTAGCTATGCAGTGGTGGCTCACGCCTTTAATCCCAGCACTCGGGAGGCAGAGGCAGGCGGATCTCTGTGAGTGTGAGGCCAGCCTGGTCTCCAGAGTGAGTTCCAGGACAGAGAAACACTGTCTGAAAAAACTACAAATGAAAAACCTTACATAAACTCTGTATGGGACGTTTGTATAAACAGCCTTTGTCACTGAGATTGTGACCTGAGTACTTGAGTAGTGACCTTGTGCAGGATTCCCACCTAACTCATTCATATGAACTCACTGTGTTACGTTTTAATGCACTAGTATGGACTCTTTACTGTGTGTGTGTGTGTGTGTGTGTGTGTGTGTGTGTGTGTGTGTGTGTGTGTGTTTTGAGACAGAATTTCTCTGTATATCACTGGATCTCCTGTCCTCTATAGACCAGACTGGCCTTGAACTCAGAGACCCTCCTTTCTCTGCTAGTGCTGGGATTAAAGGAGTGTGCCACCATTGCCTGACTGACTCACTTCTTGGTGGGAACTAACTGGCATGCTGGTCTTCACTGCCACACTGCTGCAAGGACTGCTGGGCATCACACTTCATGATTCCCTTGACACCAGGGCTGAGACCCTCTGCCTGGAATCTGGCCACTACCCAGGCCACTTGAGTTGTGTAAATTGGGCTATGCTGTAAACATAATATACATGTTGTATTTTAAAGACGTGAGTACCTAAAAGAAGACACAAATCTCAATAGTTTTAACATAGAAATCGTTAAGCTAACATTGCCTGTTTCTTCTTTTTTTCTAATGTGGCCAGCTATTATAGAATGGTTTCACTACACTTTACATAGATGGCTTGCATTTGTGGCTCATACCCTGAACAGCATGTTTCTCTACGATGTGGGGCTTATGGATTCTTGTTTTCTTCCTCATTCCTTCTTTTTGCTCTGAATTGCACTTGAGTTTTAGCGTCACCAGCCACCAATGGAGAGGCTCCTTTCATTGCAAACTCACCAATCATGTCAGTCCTTCAGTTTCCTTCTGTGCTCTCCCTGGTTTTCTAATTTCTGCAGAGCAGGGTGACTGCTAGGAACACTCGTGTGTGTTTTCAGATGCTCTGGATGGCTGAGGGTGTTGGATGCTAGCGGATAAGAGAGGCACCACTCCATTATTTATGGAGTTTTGGGGTTATCACAGCTCTCTATTATGTCTTCTCAAAATTATTGGTTTGAGATTCTGCTTAAGGATGCAGATTTAGCTCTAAGCTATCACGGCCAAACTTTATATTACCTGTGAGTCAGCTCCTCTACCCAAGAAACTGAATAAATCTGTGACATGCTAATCCATCTCATGGAACTCAATAGTCAAGGATTCAAGGGAGAGCATCCCTCCCTCCTCCACAGACCCTTGCCATTATTCTCTCCAGGAAGGCAGGGATTAAGACACCCTTGAGCCCACTGGAGACAGGGAGGGATTGGGCATGCACCATCCTTTCTGCTTACACAGCAGCCTAAAAGATGGCAGCTGAGCCAAGCTGGAAGCTGCTTCTGTCCCCTATAGTGGTGGCTTCCCCATGTGTGACATGGCTCTGCTCCCTCTGCATCACCATTTCCAATGAGAAAACAAATGACTTCCATGTGATTGCATGCAAAGGAGAGAGCCTTTTCGGTGGGCTGGAGCCAGGAAGCTGATGGAGAGCCTGAGTCCTGTGTTCCAGTTGTTAGTGGGTAGAGCACAGGGTGATTCTTCATTGTCTGCTGAGCTCCAGTACACCCCCTTGCAGTGGGTTTCCGATCTGAAAACAAATCTTTGCTGCAGTGGCTTTTCCAAGCTGCCTGGGTTACGAAGGATGGAACAGTTGCTCAAATTTTTCAAAAGACCAGAGAGTTGAGTGACACTGTTTGCATCTTTGCAGAAATATTTCTACTTGACAGTTAACAACCCTGTCTTCAGCTGAAGCTTTGTTTGCACAAGGGAAGGCACGCTGCTGCAGCTACATGGGCTTTATGGTCTGGCAAAATCATATTTGACCCACAATCCCACCATGCTCACTGGGGGCTTGGATAAGGGCTAGTCAGAACAAGCCTCATTTTCTACATCTGTAAAATAGGGACATCAACATTACTTATGTCATAGGTTGCTAGAAAATGGCAGCTGTTATGATAGCCACTGTCCTAGCTAGCACAAGCCTGTTTGAGAAGATTCAACTGAATAAAGCTGCTGGGCACTTTGGAACCAGTTGCCAACCTGCTCTGTTTTAACAACTCAACTCTCAGATATTTGTCTCCTCATGAACTTATTTCTCTCCAGAAAAGGGAATCTTAAATGGGCACCCTACCTTCACTTCTACAGTTCTGTATCTGGATTTTGAGATAATATGAGTGAAAAAAATCACTAAATTTAGAAAATTTTGTGGAAATAAAGTTTATTTTTATTCTATAGGCATCAACGGTGAGCCAGAATGTAAGTCCATGCCTACCTGACTGGTAGGATAGGGTGGAATGTTTATTTTAGAATGAACTTCAGCCTGTGAGAATCAGATTGTTTTGAGAAACACAATTATGACCTTAGAGTTGGTTGGCTCTCTCTCCCACACTCCTGCAGTTCTGTTATCTGACACTAGGGATTCGTGAGTGCCACCAAGCACAGGGAAGAAATTCCAATCCATCTGTTCTTAGCTTGCTTGGTCTCTATGTTCCATAGAAATCTAATCTAATTTCCTTTATTGACTGTAGTTTTAGCCAGCACAAAGGAGAAGACACTTCCCAGGACAAGAGGGTCTTCCTAATGATAACCAATTTTCATCAAGTGTGCTGCAGGGAGCAAATTGATTGGGGGAGAGGGCAAAAATGTCACTTATGTGTAATGTACAGATATTCGATGTTACCTCAAGGGTATGCAGAATTTTTATTATTTAAAAATTTAATGGAGCAATTAGGGTAAAATACCTCATGTACCTTCTTATCGGTGAGTGGAGAGTCTTGGGAATGTGCCTAGGTTTGTGTGGTGTTTGGGTTTTGGGATAAACTGCTGGAGTCCTGAAGCCCAGATAGTAACCATGCTGTCCTTGGTATCAGAGTGTCCAAATGCTCAATTCCATGCGCCCATATCTTGCTGCAGTGGGGGATGGGTGGTGCAAAATTCTTTTAGAAGCCTTTACCTTCCTACAAACACAATGTGAGCTGCCCCAGTTTCCTTTCAGCTCTTCAGATTGACCTTCAAAATTCACTCTTTGTATTCCCCACTGCTGTGTGTGTGTGTGTGTGTGTGTGTGTGTGAGAGAGAGAGAGAGAGAGAGAGAGAGACAGAGAGAGACAGAGAGAGACAGAGAGAGACAGAGAGAGATCCATCGATGGGTAAACCTTAGTTTTACCTCCAACCTTATGATCCTTGGCTGTCCATCAAGCTATAACTAGTTGGGAAGAAGACATATCTTTTCTCAACTAGTACAAAGTTTTAAAGATGATACCAGCAAAACAACTAAGGATAGATAAATAGTAGATGAGTAACAAATCTACTTAATAGATGTTCTTTTTTATGTAACATGAGAACCTTCAAAAGTAAAAGGTCAGAAGAAAAGGGGGAAAATGGCTTTTCTGTGCTTCGGTTTGGTGGACTGGACAGTAGTATCAAAGTCTGAGAGGAGAAAGGGGCGTCATCTAAAGGGGACGATGGTGGGAGGCTTGGTGAGGGCCATTTGCTCAACTCTTCTCTGCTCTCTGTGCCACTCACTCTCCCTTCGGGACAGGCAGGTCATATGTAACTCTTTAGGACAGAATAAGGGTAGTGAGGTCAGATGTGATTTTGTTTTTGTGTTTTTCTGTTTCTTTCAGCTTAAATATCCACTATGCTGCCCAGCGTTGGTGGTGCATGCCTTTAATCCCAGAACTCGGGAGGCAGAGGCAGGAGGATCTCTGCGAGTTCGAGACCAGCCTGGTTTGCAAGAGCTAGTTACAGGATGGCCTCCAAAGCCACAGAAAAACCCTGTCTCAAAAAACAAAACAAAACAAAAATCCACTATGCCAGGGTCACATTTCCTGAGCTCCACTATTTGTGTTTAAGACTTTTGTTGCTCCACTCAGACAGAAACAAATGGAAGCATAAGTGTGCTCCAACAGCACCAGCTGTTTGCACAACTATTTGATGTGGGAAGGCATTATCCCTACTTGTCATATTGACAGCTTGTTGATTTGATAAAGTTTATTATTTTGTTGGTTCCTTCTTACTCATGAGCTTGGGTTTCACCTCAGACATTTATTAGCCATTTTAGTTTTCTCTTTGGATGCCACACTGTGTATATATTTCTCTATTTTGGGGCAGTGTATTTGTATGCTGTAGGTGCTTGTGTGTATGTGTGTGGAAGCCAGTGGTCAATGTTGGATGATTTCCTCAATCCCTCTATACTCATTTTTTTTTTTTTTTAAAGACAGGCTCTCATTGAGCCTGGAGTTCATTGATTTGGCTGCCTGGCAAATGAACTCTGGGAATTTACTTGTCTCCAGCCATACCCAGGATTGTGATTACAGAAGAGTGCCATTGCCCAGTTTTAGGTAGGTGCTGAAGATTTGAACACATTTCCTTATGTGTATGGCAGGCAGTTTACCAACTGGACCTGTTTAAGTATTTCTCTTGAGTTATTGTCCTGTTTTTGATTGGTCTTACTAACAATGCATATACTTTATATATGGTCTACCAATAATCACATGGGTATGCATTCCACAGATATCATTTATGGTGTGGGTTACAGCGTACTTATTATTATATTTGTGTGTGTTCATGCGGGTGCATTTGTATATGTGCATACACGCATGTAGAGGTCAGAGGTCAACCTTGTATGGTCCTTCTCCAGATCGGTGCAGCTTGTTTTTTGAGACAGAGCCTCTCATTGTTCTGGATGTTTAGGCTCTGCTGATTGACTGGAGACTGAGGGATCTGCCTAGCACCAGTATTACAAGTCCATGCCACCCTGTATGGCTCCTTCACATGAGTTTTGGGTGATGAACTCAGGACAAACACTTCACTGAGTCTTATTTCTAGCAGTATTTTGTAGTGATTGCTATCTAAGTTATGTAATTTTGACATGATATATAACTCTGGCCATTGAAGAATGGTGTTTCATTTCATAAGAAACTTCCCAACAGTCTTTCATAGTGTTTCTTTTTCTAGCTACATTTACTATCATGAGCAAAATTAGAGAAATACAGCCAGTCCACCTCCTTGTCAACACTTGGTGTTGTCAGTCTTTAAATTTAGCCATTTTGGCAAGTATCAAACAATCTCTTTGTGGTTCAAAATTACACTTCCCCGATGATTAGTAATATGAAGCAATTTTTTTGTTTATTTTTTGAGACAGGATTTCTCTATATTGTTTTGGAGGCTGTCCTGGAACTTGCTCTGTAGACCAGGCTGGCCTTGAACTCACAGAGGTCTGCCTGCCTCTGCCTCCCTAGTGCTGGGATTAAAGGCGTGCGCCACCAACGCCTGGCTAATATGAAGCAATTTTAAATGAGCCTATTTTCTGTTTGCATATCTTACTTTGTGGCAAAATAATAGACTTTTATTCATTCATTTATTATTTATTTTTTGGGAGTGTCTCAGTATGTAACCCAGGCTAGCCTTGAAATCATGACCCTTCTGCTCCAGCTTTCTGAATGCTGGGATTGTAGGCCTGTACCATCACCTCTGTCTAGATAATATTTTTTAGCCATTTGAATATCCTTGTATATTGGAATAAACTCTCCTTAGCTGTAACGTTTTACCTCTCTTAATTTGCTTTGTTAATATTTTCTTTATTGTTTTCATCTTTGTTTATAAGTGAGCGTGGCCCACGTTTTTCTTACATGTACTTTGTCTATTTAGTTCTGGTTTCAGGTTATAGAGATGCCATGAAATGAATTGGAGAAGGTCTCCTTTTGTAGGTTTGAGAGTCTTGATGAGGTAGATAATAAGCTTCTCAGAAATCAGGGCCTGATGCTTTTACTGACTGTAGTTCTAATACTAATACAATAACTTATAACACTACTACTGCCAATTTTCTTTTTAGGAAATTCTGGAAATTTGGCATTTTTACTTTATTCTAAATTCCAACATGGTTGGCATGTTAATTACCAGCTTTCTTCAAAGTGGCAACATATGCGGGAGAAGCAAAGGAGTTGAGATTGACTTTGATGCCGGCCTTGGGAGGCCCATGGTTACTTTGGGCCTGAGGAGAGGCAGGATGGAGCAGCTGGGAGCTGTCCTGGAGGACACTGCTTGCTTCATGATGAAGAGGAATAAAGAAAGAGGTGGGTCGGGCGGTGCTGTTGCAAGCCTTTAATCCCAGTACTTGGGAGGCAAAGGCAGACGAATCTCTTCGAGTTCCAGGCCAGCCTGGTCTACAAAGCTACACATAGAAACCCAGTCTTGAACCCCCCCCCCCCAAAAAAAAAAAAAAAAAAAGAGGTTGATGTTAGCTAGGATCCAGCATCCTCCTGGAGGTCCTGTCTAGTGACCTAACTTCCTCCCCCTAACTCCTTCTCCCTGCAGACTCTTTCAGCAATTCAATAGGCTACTACCTCAAAGAAGGGTTGGTGAGGTTTTCAGAATGTGGACTTTTAGGAGACAATTAAAATCTAAACTCTAGCAACTTGTGTAGCTTCCCGGCACATTTGGTCCTTTTAGTTTCCCTGAAGAAGGCCACTTGGGGATCTGGCAGAATTCTTTCTAAATTTTTTCCCTCTGATTTTAGGCAGCCTTAAATCTCATCCCAGAACTCATTAGTGAAGAATAATGGATGGCAGTAAGATATTTAGATGAATTGTATTGGACATCTGCAAAACGTGGTTTATTGCTATTTCGATAGGACATTTCATCCAGAAAATTCTTGGGTGTGGGATCTTTTTTTGCCCTGACAAGTTCATCTCTGCCAAGTAGCAGAAAGAGCCTTGTGTGTCAGGAATCTTTGAGTTAGAAGGGGTTGGGGAGGGAGCCACGATCAGTTTGGCTTAAACAGATAGGGAATTTATTGACCCATTTAATTTAGAACCTGAGTGACCTACAGCTGCCACCTGAACTTTCTTTGAAGCATTTTCTTAGGGTTGCTTCTTTTTCTTTATTTCATTCTTTTCATTCCCATAATAGACAAATCTGTCTTCCTGAAGCATGGAAGATGGGTCCTGACCTTCCAACCTCACTCCCACTCTGCACTGTGACCTCTCCCAAACAAAAGCGATTTTTTTCCCTAACCTGACTATTCCAGCAAGAGTCTTCTAGTTGGTCCTATCTGAGTCACATGCTCATTCACAAACAAATCTCTGCTGTGGTGGGATGGGTAGGGGCTCTGATTGTCAGACTGAGTTCCAAGTCTGTGGGGATGGAGGAGAAAGTGCAGGAGGGAATACCCTGTGATTGACAACTCCTCAGGACCATGGGGACTAGGGGACTATAAGGAGTGTCTCCAGAGGAAGATCCTGGCCAAGCAGGTCATTTTTTAAGCAGAACTTTTTGGTCTCCATAGTCGGTGCCCTGTTTTATTATTATTTTTCTCTAGAGGGCTCCTTTCATTAAGTGCCTTCCTTACCATGTAGTGTTTTTTTTTTTTTTTTCTGTTCTTGTCATCTGCTTGGAATTTACTGATTATTTAATCAGAATTAAAGGGCCCTTAACCTTTACCAAACACAAAGTTTGAATGGTGAATACCCCGAGGATTCCTTGGGAATGTCTGTGTAGGGAGAGGATAAAGATGACAACATCATCTGAACCGTTAGGAAGATTAGCTGCTCCACTCTTCGGAGCTCTTCTCCAGGGTTGTAAACTGGGAAGGGAAGGCTCCAGCCTCCACACAGGCAGGCAGAACCGGCAGTGCTAATTCTGTGAGCTGTGGCTTTCAAAACATAATGTCACCACTGGAGGAATAGGAAGAACACTCTATCTATCTATCTATCTATCTATCTATCTATCTATCTATCTATCTATCTATCTATCTTCTATCTGACTATCATCTATCTTCCTATCATCTATCTATCTATCATCTGTCTGTATATCTATCATCTATCTATCTACCTATCAATCATCTATCTCTCTATCATTTATCATCTATCTTCCTATCATTTATCTATCTATCTATCTTCTATCTTCTATCTGCCTATCATCTATTAATCCATCAACCAATCTATCATCTATGTATCTATCATCTATCTATCTACATATCAATCATCTATCTATCTATCATTTATCATCTATCTTCCTATCTATCTATCTATCTATCTATCTATCTATCTATCATCATCTGTCTATATATCTATCTATCTACCTATCAATCATCTATCTTCCTATCATCTATCTATATATCTATCTATCTATCATCTATGTACATGTGTGCATGCCTATGTGTGTGTGTACTCCACTTTTGGTGAGATCAAGGCTTATGTTTGTTGACTTGGATCTGGGCTTGGTGATACATGTTGGAAGTTAAGACCTGAACCAAATATGCCTAAATCTTGCCCTGCCAGCTACCCCTATCCCTAAGCACAGCGCAATGGTTTATATGCCCACTGAAGAGGCTCAGCAAAACATGTTATGTTTTGCTAAGGCCCAAGCAGGTTCTGTCTTCTCTTTCAAGAGGCAAAATTGTGGAAATTCTATTCTCCTCTGGAAGACCCCAGGAAAGAGTGAGGTCGAAGAAGCCCTGGGAGACTGGCATGGCTGGGATATGCAGAGTAAGCTGGAGTTCATTTCCCTTTCAGCTGACCCTGTGAGGAAGGAAGAGACGGGAAGGAAGCTATTGGGCTCTTTATTGATACCAACAAAAATTTCTAGTATTTTTCTTGTCTAGGGGAGGAGGACTCCCAGGTAAGTGAGCTTTAATGCCCAGCACCCCCTATCCCCCAGGAGATGAGGGTTAACTTATGCTCTGGACCCTACACTAAGGGCCACTGTATGTGGGAGCCCACAGTGACTCTATTTCTATCTTGACTTGAGGTCAGAGAGTTCAGACCTATTCTTGTTCCTCAAGGCCAAATAACAGGATGTTTGACTTAGGGTGTGGTTACTAGATGTTTTGAGAACTAAGGAGGTGATTATGCTTGTTTGTTCCTTGAACCATGGAAGGGAAGTCTTTTGCCCCCCCCTTATGCATTGGATATAAAAGAGGTATGAGAAATAAATTCGAGGCTGCTGCAGTATTCACTGAGAGCCCTCCAGACTCTATCTTCTGTCCTTTGTCTCTTTCTTTTAGCTTTTCTTTGGTGGGGGTGGTTTGAGGCAGGGTTTCTCTGTGGCTTTGGAGGCTGTCCTGGAACTAGCTCTTGTAGACCAGGCTGGTCTCGAACTCATAGAGATCTACTTGCCTCTACCTTCCGAGTACTGGGATTAAAGGCGCGTGCGCCCACCGCCCAACTCTCTTGTCTCTTTCTTTCTCAACCCTCACTCCCCCTTTCAAGCACATTTAGCAGCTTGGCTGGTTCTGACAACTGTATCTTCCTTTGAAGGAAGGAGATGGTGAGACTCCATGGAGCAGGGTCAGGCCTGCTATGGGTGAAGTACTTGAATCAGTCCCTCTCTAGCATTTCAGTCTGTTCTGTCTTCTGGCCTGATGACAAAAGATAAAAATGGCCTGTTGGTATCTTAGATCAGTACTCCTTCTGCCCCTATATACCAAGTGCCATTGCTGACTAGAATATGACTTATATTTAAAGGTAATCATGAGGGTTAGCAAGAACAGTTCAGTGTGTAAAGACGCTTGCTGCCAAGCCTGGCAATCTGAGTTTGACCCCCTGGCCCATATGGTGGAAGGAGAGAACTGACTCCTACAAGTTGTCCTCTGCCTTTCACTAAATGCATAAATAAATATAAAAAATAAAAATGATAACACATAGGCCAATTTACATACTTTGTCTTATACATATAGTTCTAACACAGTGTGAAAGAATATTTTGGAAAAATCCTTCATTCTACAAAATTGAAGGTAGAACAGGGATTAGGGGAACAGTTTGCTCAAAACTTAACAATGTTGTCATTAGAACAATAAAATTTATTTGTGGGGGCTGTGGAGATGGCTTAGTCTGTAAAGTGCTTGTTGTGTAAACATGAGGACTTGAATTTCATTGTCCAGCACTTATTAAAAAAGCCAGGTATAGTGGCATGTGCCTGAAATCTAAGTGTAGGGCAGGTAGAGACAAGAGACTTGCTGGAGAGCTAATCTAATTGAATTGATGAGTTTTAGACTCAATAAGAGACCCCATGTCAAGAAAAAAGTGAGGTAGAGGGGGACTGAAAAAACACACTTGACGTCTGTCCACTTTCTGCACACACATGTGCACACCTGGGCACACCCACTCATACTCATGCACTTGTACATATGAATACACACATACATATATGTACAATAAATGAAACCAACCATCCCTAATAAAAACACTGTCTGAGTAAAAAAAGATGAACTCCTAGTAGGTGAAAAATATGTTAGTAAATACAGGCCTTATCTAAAAAACCAAACCAAACCAAACCAAAAAAAGAACCAAAAGCTTAATGAAAGTGTGGGTAAAATGATGTGCAATGTCTTTCTGTATGCTGCGAATATGTGTTGCTTTTATTGGTTGATAAATAAAGCACCTTTGGCCAAGGGCAGGGCAGAATATAGCTAGGTGGGAAATCCAAGCAGAGACACAGGGAGAAAGAAGGCAAGGCCAAGAGGGACTCCACCAGCCAAAGGAGAAAGATATCTGGGCATCACCGGTAAGCCACAGGCCATGTCACGATATGTAGCTTAATAGAAATGAGTTACTTTATATGTAAGAGCTAGCTAGGAATAAGCCTGTGCCATCAGCCAAATAATTACAATTAATATTAAGTGGCTGCGGGCCTGGTGGGCAGGACAGAAAACCTGTGTCTACAGTAAAGGAAGTTTGAGGCTTCTGAGTTATGAAAGGACAAAATAGAGACTGGGTAGGACCTTGCGATATATACATCTGGGACAGAGCATGTGGTGTCATGAAACTAGCAGAGAGCAGGGCTGTGATAGGCATCATGTACAATGCCAGAGCCTTCCTACTTTCTGTGTCTGATGTAAAGCATAAAAGTGCTGCCAAAAACCATGCCGGGAACTAACACACTTCAGATTTAATTAGCATCGTTAACTTTATTTCAAGTGTAGCATGCAACAATTTGCATCATGGGAAGGAGCTTTGGAGCAACCTTGTGTCAGAAATGCATGTTAACAACTGTTTCATAGTTACAGGTAGGCCACATTTATAAAACAGGACTAAGATTATTTGCCCCAAATGTTTTCAAAGAGATTATGCACACGAACCCTAGCAAGGGAAGTGGCCATTCAGAGGTTTGGTAGGGAGATCTGATAACCTCGAAGGACTATTCTCTCTTCATTGCTTGCTCACCAGGTGGGGCAGGTTTCTTGTGTGTTTTGTCTCTCACTTATCCCTAACGCTGGTGTACCATTCTCACCACAGTTTAATGGGGATGATGGAGAATTTGGAACCACGATTACAGAAAGGAAGATTTCTTCTTACCAGGCTATTATTACGCATTGCCGGAAAACATCGAAGGTGGAATGAAAGCATCTCCCATCTCTTCAAAAGTAAAAACAAAACCCACAAACGGTCCACCAGACAACCCCTCCACAGTCTCCAAATTCCACCAGTAGTGCATCATCTTGAGGCTCCACCCCATTTCCTTCACCCCCTTTCTGTCCTCCACTCTACAGCTCAGTCTCTCTTTACTCAAATCAGTAGCTGGTTTTCACTGTGTGCTATTACGTTACTTATTTATAAAGTCAAATACTTGCAAAGTGCTTATTACCGTTGGGCATTGTGCCAAGCATAGGTGTTAACTCCCTTAATTCTGTGAGTTAGGTGTTTTATTGACTATTTTATAAATGAGGAGCCAGAAGCAGTCCGGTCATGGCACTTGGCAAGGTGCCAGGCTTGTGAGTGGCCAGCCTGAGGCTGAGTTCAGAACCATCTGCTACTGAGGATGGGGGTCCTGCCCTGACCTCTGCAGTGGCCAAGTTTGGTCAAGACTGTTGACTGATGGACAGCTCCCTTTGCTTCGGGCATCTGTCTTGAACTTTTTGGATAACTGCACGGTTAGACACAGTCTTCCTGTCTCTTCTTTGTGGGAACTCTTAGGCATGAAGCCTGTACTGGCAGGGAAGAAGCACAAAGACACCCCCAGGAGCACCCCTGTTCCCAAACAATAATTCTATGGGCTGATGAAATAATACTTAAAAACTGTGTATTAAGAAATTCAAGGTATAATCAATTCATCCAATCTGAGTTCCGTGAGGGCCAGTTTCTTTTCTAGTCCCCAAAGTTGGTTTCTCCTCTTCCAAAGGAAATATTTATTATGCATTTTCTTTCACTTAAAAATATTTAACAACTGATTTGTGTGTTGCATGAAAGTTACACATTTCCTAAGATGCATTTGCTATTTTATTTTCTTTTCATTCAAAAATATGTCAGTAATCTTTTTGTTAACATGAAGATAAAGGATTAGTAATGCAAGGTGCAGTTTTCTTGTAGCCTTCTTGAAAGCAGGCTATAGTTTCTTATCTGGCTCCAACATTCATTTTCCTGAATTGAAAAAAAAAGGTGACTTAAAATGAAATATACCACATTTGATTCCTGAGAGCATCGCTGGCAGGGAAATGTACTGAGAGAGGCAGACTTGGTCAGGTTCCAGAGAGCCCCTCTGCTGCCCAAGTGAGGGAATTGACTAATTTTGCATTTTAAAGCACAGTATTAATGCAGGAGGAATTGTGAATTGTCTCCCAGTTGTTACTAATCGGAAGATATGTATGATTTTATTTCCTGGAGAATTCAAGCTGTTAGGAAAAGAAAACAGTGAAGTGTAAGCCTTCATAATTTCAGTTTAATTTTTTTTAAAATGTGAGTTTCTATTTACAGAGCTGGATGCTGAAAGCATTGAGATGAAGGGGGAAAGTGCCCAGCCTGATGGGCACCTCGACTCCTGTGACCTGTGATGGCACAGGAGGGAGGTGTCCCAGCAGAAAAGACAGCCCTTGTTTTCCCTCTCAACTGCTATGTTCAGGCTTAAGTGGAGAGGTTTTATAGCTCTTTTATGATTTTTAATATGAGGCCTAAGCGAGTGTAGATCCAATGTTTAAGTCTCAAGTTGTTTAATGTCACCAGGCTATACATGGGAACCCACTGCCCTGACACTATCTTAGGTTAACTGACCATGTTCACAGGCTCAGCCTATACTAGCCCCACACGAATACCCAGCTTTAGCAGGGAACTGGAATCCTGTTACCAGACTGGCCAGAGCAAACCCGGGGCATTTACAGTGTGCTTCCCTCAGACTTTGAACCTGCCCCAGCAAACACCACTTCCCTTCTCTGGGCTAGGCCCTGGCCAGAGCCTTGAAGGACCACTGGTGTAGAAGACCCGAGAAACTTTCCACAGGTAACAAACGTTAAGGGGAGGTGAGTACACCAGAGGAGGCACATGTGGCCCAACCCAGGGGCTCAGGGATGCCCCCTGGAGGCAGTGTTAGTGGAATGTTGGTGGGAAGTCCTTGCCAGGTGTGGCTGTGTGAGAGACACTGCAGGGAAACAACAGCACAGTAGAAGCCCTGGCCTGCTGTTAGTTGGTACCTAAAGGACTGAGCTTCTGGTTGTGGCTGTCCTTGGAGAGGGGCTTTCTGTGATGTGAGGGGTGCCTCCTGTCTGAGAGGATCTGTAGTTGTGAGCTGGAAGTTGACTCTGTTTTGTGCCACCAGGCATGTGAGACTTTCTTCTGAGAGGACTGGTGAGCTAACCAAAAGAGCAGCTGAAGCAGGGCAGGCCAGAAAGGTGAGCACCCATCTAGGGAGGGGAGGCAGACTAGAAAGGGGAGCACTGATCTAGGGAGGAGAGGCAGGCTTTGGGAGGTTGTTAGGACTCACGAGGACCCCACGTTACTGGGAAGGAGGTATAGTGTATGAGCATGAGGAAATGGTTCTGGCAATCAACCACGTGTTCTGCCTTGAGCAAGACAGGAAGTGAGGTCAGGAAGGTCTAAGCTGGAGAGTATCGAGGGATCAAGGCAGTCTCAGGGCACTTGAAGTCTGAATATCCCTAAAGGAGGTGCTATACTTTGCAGGTGAGGTGCCCCTTCCGCCTCAGGGCTTCTGTATCTGGTGGTTGGTTGGTGCTATTTAGAGACAGTTGGAGTATGAAGGCTCTTCCCTCAACAATAGGTTACATCTTGATACACCCGTAATAGAGGACATTATTGGTAAGTGGTAGAGAGAAGGAGGCAGGGTGTTCCCTTGATGGGCATAAATTGATCCTAGTCTTTTCCTGTTACTGTCTTTGCTTCCTGACCTCTTCATTCATGTGCTTGCATCACGACAGCAGACTGCTTTGCCTCAGACTCTAAGTTACAGAGCCAGATCACCCTGGGCTGAAACCTTTGAGCCCATATCTTTCTTCTCTTGAAATCATTTCTTTCAGACATTTGTCCCACTGATGAAAACTGACCAATAGTAGCTAAACAACAGCAGTTAAAGCTGCTTTTCTCATTAAACCCGAGCCCCCTAGAACCCTTTTCTCCACTTAGAGGGCCTGGAGCCAGGTGAGGCTTTGAAGAACAAGTCCATGCAGGGATGGAGAGAGAAGAGAGAGGACAGGATGGGAATATGCCCCTCCCCCTGTCATGTTTCCCCCCTGGTTTTAATGAGAGTGTTTTTAAATGTTACTTTGAGAAGAATTAGAAACTTAAAGATAGCTATCCTAGGTTAGAAAGACCTGGAAGTGATGGTCCGCCTGGGGAAGGAGAAGCTGACACAATCCCACAACAGAGATGGATCCGAGATGAGGCCAGGGGAGGAAGCTACCGGGTGGTTCTTGGAAATAATATTTCAGAAAAGGCAGAGAGAGTGTGGCTAACCCAGGATCAAAACTGAGCAAATATTCACCATGTTGAGTTGCATTTAATGGTAGGCTCCGGGATGTGCAAAGCCAGGTGCTCAGAGGAGGAAGCACGAGCTAGTGCTCTTCTTCAGAAGTCACAGGACCCTCTGGAGATAATGTTTCTGCCTTTGTTGTCAATATCCTGGGGCTGCCTTTGCACACTCCATATCCTTACACACAAAGCTTGCAAAAAAGCTTTGCTTTCTGCCCTCATGACCTCTGGCCTGATATCCAGCTCATGCTTGTAGATAAACACTTTATTTGGAGTACATGGCCAACACAACATGAACTCAGTGGTAATTTTTGGAGTTTTTTGTCTCGTAAATCTTTGTCTGAACTTTTTCTTCTTAACATTGCATATCTTTTGCTTATATGTTATGGTTTCCTATTTTGTTTTTATGGGTTTCCTCAATGTGTTTCTCAGAATCTGTATGTGTTTCTTGTGGTTTTTATATGCCTTATCTCTTCTCCTTTGTTTGTTCTGTCCTATTCTGGTTTGTTTATTTTTTTTTATTTTAACTTTTATTATTATCATTATTATTTTTAGATGCCTGTTTGTATTCTAATGGAAGAGAGAGAAAGAAAGGGTATGGATTTGGCTGGATCTGGGAGGAGTTGGGGGAGATGAAATGGTAATTAGACTGTTGTATGAAAAAACTATTTTCAATTAAAAAAAAGAAAGAATCAAGTGGAGAGAGGAAGCTGGGGGACCACGAGACCTTCTGGAGGGGGGGCAGAGAGCTGTGCATCATAGGCTTCACATGGGAGACCAGAGCCTGACACAGAGGTGGCCTGAGATGCAAGGAGGTGGCATAGTGGGGCATGCCTCTCTATCAAGGCTCCGTCTCCTCTACTGGGCTCTCTGTTCCTGACCTCTGCCCTTCTTTGATGACCTTTCTCTTCCATCCTACACAGCCTGCCAAGGTCACTGAAGAGAAGACACAAAGGAACAGATCAAGAGCCAACTCTTGACAGCTGAATTCTCTAAATAGATTTACCAACTTGTGGCAGGGGCAACCCTTTTGAAAGCCAAAGGTTTTGATTTGAAACTTTTTTTTCCACTTCAAAAGAGTAAGCCCCTGGAGAAGCTGGGGACACAGTTAACCCCAAACAGTGGTTTCCAATCCACCACACACAGCAAGACTCCCTTTTCTCTTCAATTTTGCTATAACAGGAAATTTCAAAGATGGCCACTGATGGAGAGAATAGTAAAATGACCTGATGTTCTCACTGTTTAGCTGAGAGCAAGTGTTGACACCTGGACACACCCTGTTTCATCTCATTCTGATCCACTCCATCATATGGAGGATCTCACAGCAAATTATCCAATTGTACCTGCAAGTACTTCTCCTGTAAAGTCAAAGGACTTTAGAAAGCATAGGCCCAGGGCTGGAGAGATGGCTGAGTGGGTAAAGGTGCTTGTCATGAAAGGCTGGAACCCTGGGTTCCATAAAGATGAGAGGAAAGAACTGACTCCTGGGAGTTTTTATTTAATCTCTCTCTCTCTCTCTCTCTCTCCCTCTCTCTCTCTCTCTCTCTCTCTCTCTCTGTATGTGTATGCCTCCCTCTGCATACATCATACACACACACACACACACACACACATGCACACATGTACTCACACATACACACACATATACACGCACGTGCACACAGTAAGCAAAAGTTAAAAAAGAAAGCACAACCTTGGTATAATGATTGCATCTAAATATAATGATAATTAGTGAGCCTGTTCACAGAATCCTAATTTATACACTTTTTAAGGGAAGAAAAAATGATGTAGTTATATCATAATCTCAAAATTTAAATAACAAAATAAGAATATATATGTATGTGTGTGTTTTTTGAGGCAGGGTTTCTCTGTATTGCTTTGGAGCCTGTCCTGGAACTTGCTGGCCTCGAACTCACAGAGATCTGCCTGCCTCTGCCTCCTGAGTGCTGGGATTAAAGGTGTGCGCCACCAACACCCAGCTAAGAATTTATATTTTTATTTAATTGTTTTAGAATACCTTCTTACAACTAGTAATTTGTCAAATCTTTTATTGTTATGAAAAAAACTGATAGCTTGATCAATATATAAAAAAATTAATAGAATGCTCCATCTGGGTTATGACAGAGAAATAAAACAAAAGCTACTTAACTCATGCATTTTACATTTAAGCGCTTGGACACTGCCATATGGGAAATATATTAATGCAGTTCTGTGTTCAACCTTGAGTGTAGGGTCACAGTGAATATGACAGCTCTGAACACAGACTGACACAGGATCTCATGTGGTGATTTAAATATGAACAGCATTGTCAACCTGACATACTCTTGCTGAAATAGTTTTTAGCAAAATAGGTTCAGCCTTCCCTTGACAATATTGTTGCTGTTGTAAAGAACAGAATGTGCATTTAAAGTATGTAAAATTTCTGTTTGTCTGCAAATGGCATTAGCTCCAGGTTCAGCTAACTGTAAGTGATTTTTAAGCCTGCATGGCCACCTGGATAATCAAGAGGCTTGTGGGACTAAGGGTGGTTCTCTAGTGTTGGGACAATCCTTCGCATTGTGCAAAGTCTCCTGTTTTTAGCTCCTGCCCACCAAATGCTAGAACTATTTCAAATTAAAGGCGGTTGAAGAAACCTAACAAAATTTAATGTTCTTCAATGATTTTTAATTGAATCTGGAGTGGAACTAAAATATTATCTAAAAGAACGTTATTTGCATAGCGGGATATTTGAACAAGAATTTTATGTAGTAGAGGATAGTATTAATGCTATTTTGTGGGTTAATTGGGGAGTTGGCCATATATTCTTATAACACTTCCATATAGATTTGAAGTAATAACATTTGAAATAATAACCATTAGAGAAATACTCTCAACTTGTTTTTTTCCCCTTCAAGTTTGCCATGGAGGGAATGGCACAGTCAGCAATAGACGCAGTAGCTTCAGAGCGAAGACACTGAGCTGGAGAAGCAGGAAGGATGAAATGGGAGTGAGCCTTCAGCATGCTCTCGGGGCTAAACGGGAGAGCTGTCGGAAAGTCTTTAGATGTGCAAGTAGGTTTCTCAGAGCAGTACTGGGTCACGTTCTCTTCAGAGCTTTAGAAGCCATCAGGGAGGTTAGGAAGCATAGGATGGTTGCAAAAGGTGAAGGGTTCATTCCAGCAGGGGCCAGCAGAGAGCTAAGGGTATGATTCTCCCAAGGCTTTTCTTACACCCTCGCGCCGCGCCGCGGCCCGCGGGGGGGGGGGGGGGGGGGGCAGTATAAAGGACCAGAAGATGGGCAGGGGACACAAGAATCTGAGTGATTCAAACTTAAAATGTCCTAATGATTTGATAACAGTCGAAAGAGAGAGAGAGAGCGAGAGAGAGAGAGAGAGAGAGAGAGAGAGAGAGAGAGAGAGCGAGCTAAACTATTCCTGCTGATGAGTGAACACAGGGGTGAAGGCAGAAACTGAATGCCATAGAAAGTTACATTGCATCCCTTTCGGCAAGCCTGACTTCTATGGTGGATGAAAACCTGAACTGCTATGGTCTTTTGAGTCCCATGTATCCATTGGATAGGATATTCACTTCTTAAGGATAGCCAGACACTTGTTATTTCATGTTTTCAAAGCCATGGTTGAAGTTCTCAGAGATCTGAGAAGGTAAGGACATTACCAAATATGCATAATATCCAGAGAGATGGCAAGGAGCTGGCCATGGACCTGGAACTGGCATTTATCCAGAAGTAGGGAGAGTCTAGGGAAAAAGTCATGTCCCCAGTCACTAGTATGGAAAAGTCCCCAAGTCCTGGGGCATCTCTTTCTCAGTTCTCTAAGAAAAGACAGGGAAGACAAGGAAAAATTGTTTGTATTCCGAAGTGGGGCCCGTGGGGAATGAGTGGGTTCCTGTGAAATAAAACCCTTGTACCTTCAGCCTTTGCTAATCAGAGGATGCCACAGGAACTGGCAGGGCAGATGGCTGAGATCCTATCACAGCAGCCCCAGGATTTAGGAACATTAATTTTAAAGGGGGATTAAAGCACAGAAGAACGCTTTTAAAACATCATTTTCATAAGCACCTAGGCACAGTTGCTGGCTGAATGTTTATGTGACAGGTCTTTGTATCAAACTGTGATGAAAGCGAGGGGCTCTTACTACGAATCTGTGTGATGGGGAAGTCAGTATTTGTCTTGTTAAAACACCAGCAAGAGTTTCTCACATGTCTCTTTTTTGGTTTGCTGGCTGGCAGGATAGAGTCTGTACCATTCTTGGTTGTGACTGTGGGAACTGAGCTTCTCTTAAGACACTGTGGCTCCTTTATAGAGTCTTCCATCGGCCGATCAGAGCAGTGGGGCAGTCAGTTCATCCTAGACTAGACCTTAACCTGCTGTACTTTAAGGACTTAAGACCGCAAGCTGTTCCCGCGGTCTTTAGACTGGAGACTGCATCTCCATGGATACTCAAAAGGGGGGACAAAGAGAATTCAGACCCCTTATTCCACATGCCTTCCTTCCTGGTGTTCTTCTATCTGGGAACATGCCTATGGCCTGTAGATTCTCTGCTCCCATTCCACTCAGACTCCCATTTTAGAAAACATAAGTACCTCTTCCCTCTGACTACCATACTTCACCTCAGGACGGCCAAAACACTGTTTTTTTCTTTTAAACAAAATCGATGCTTGCTCTCCTCCTTACCCTATTCACCTTCTTTTTAACTAGAGTGGTATTATAAAAATAATTACCATGTCTGTCAGAGTTTCAACTTGGTATGAAATCAGGATGTTTCTTATAGTCAATGGTGTCTTCTAGTTACCTTAGTTGTGTTTTATTTTTATTTTTATTTTTTTGAGATACGTTCTAGCATCAAAACCAGAATGGTTTGAAGGAGAATCCTAGAGACCAGTGTGAAGCACTCTTAAATGAAATATTGTTTCACTAGTTAGAATATATATATTTAAAATATACTCTGAAAATTTTTATGCATGTTTACAGTGTATTTTGATCATTTCCACTCTCCAATCTCTCCCTCCAACTCTTCCCATGTCCCTTGGCTCCCTCCCAACTTCATGTCCTTTTTTTTTTTTTTAATCTGCTTAGTCTAATTAATAGTTCTAGTATGTACATGGATCTAGGGTAATTTACTGGAGGATGAGCAACCTACCAGGGGCCAAATCCCTGAAGAAAACTGACTCCCCCTTCCTTAGTAACCACCAAGCACCTCTGTTAGTCCCTCTGCTAGGATGGGGCCTTGTGAGAACTTCCCAATTGGAGCTGGATGTTTGACTGGCATGATCTTGTGTGGGTCTTGTGCAAGCAACCATGGCAACTGCCAGTCCATGTGTCCAGTGACCCTGTCGTGTCCAGAAAACAGTATTGTGCATTTGTCCTCCGCAGTCCTTGGCTCTTTGATGGTACAGAAGGTAATTCGAGGTTGAAAACTGTGGTCATTTATTTATCAGCTTGAAAAGAGACTCAGAAGAGCTGGGCCCAAAATATAAAGCTTTCTTAAGAATACTGGAGTAAATTAAGTTCACCTTGTTACCTTCTTTTCTGAATGTCTAAACACAACATAGAATCAGAATTATGACAGACCTTTGCCAGAGTGCCCCATGCTCACACACCCTTTTGTTTGCCCTGAGATTCAAAGTAGAGAAGGGGTGGCTACTGGGATTGGTTGAAAAAATGGTGGCCTTGGGGGAATGCCAGCACATAAACCAACAAGGCTTCTTTAGAATCGGAAGGAAAGGCTTCAGCGAAGCAAAAACAATCAAGAAGTGTTCTAAGCAACCACTGGTGACCCCGATGGTAAGTTGAAAGTCAGTTATTTTGAATGGTTAAAGACTCTAACCTTGGCCCTGACCTGTCTCCCAAACAGACAGGGACTGAAAGGGTCCAAAGTCAATTATTCAGAAAGCCATTTAGGCTAAGCCTCTTGGCGTTCTGAATTGGATGCCATTTTTAATTCTCCTTTTCTCATGGCTGCTGTTGCTGTGTGTGTTTGTGTTTGCAAAAGCAGTTTAGGTCCTAGAATTCCCAGCCATCCTGTTAAGACCCAGGCCGCCTTGCTATCTCCTATCTTTGTCCCTCACCTCATTTTGAAGGATTGTTACACATGTGTAAGCACAATGGGATTATTTATTCATTGTGTTTGTCCACTCTTTTCTGTGCCACAAAAGGAGAAATAGCCTGCACTGCGACTTAAGGGCTTTCTGACCGCTCCAAAGTCATGACATTTCCTTTGCTCTTTGATGGCTGGCTTTGAAAAGCAGGGGAAGCTGGGTGACAAACTGGGTAGGCTCTTGGCGGGAGATGACGCTTCCTTGTTGTGAAAAAGCGCATTTAGTAACTTTTAAAAAGCAAATTGAGGACTTAATAGAGCACACAGTCTTCTTTGGAGATTGCTACAAGGTGGATTGTCTTGATAAAACATTTGAAGCCAGAAATCCATCAAGCGTCCGTCAGTATAAGCACTGACCCGAACCCCCCCCAAACATTCTCACCAAATTTCATTTTTTTTTTTTGAATAGGGAAAG